CCCCCAGGTTGGCTTTTTCTTAAGGATTATATGTCAATGTTCATAAGATACCTTTGCTCTAGATATCATGTCATTATATAACCATATATAATGGCAGAAGAATGGCAGTGTGCCCTCATCTACCTCTTTACATCAGGAAAGCAAATTTATCTCAGAAGTCTCTGGCGCATTTTCTTCTGGTTCAGATCAAGTTAGGTGTCTTTAGCTTATTGAAGGGAAGCTAGAAAATTAGCTGTCGTTTCCAATATATATTGTGGAGATGTGTGTGTGTTTCATGTGTGTGTTGTTAGATAGGCAACCAATAGTGTCTGACACAAGGAATAAGATGGAATCTCAGTCCTCCCTAAAGAAGCTTGTTTCTCTCTGGGTGGAACAAGCTGTAACTATAATACAGTTTCTGTGTGGTAGCTTCCTGGAAACACTCCTGGGCTTCAAATTAACAATCCCTTTTAAATTGGTTAAAGAAAACCATTCTAGATACTTTTGATTTGGAGTTGCCAAAGCTGTCCTCTCTGAATTTTTAGTCACAAGTCTGTTCTGACCATCTTTTTAATAAGTGGTGTTAAGAAATGTAGTATCAAAGTTTACATAATGTGATTTTAAGTGATGTACTCTTTCTCCAAAATGCTCTTGCCCTTACACCTTCACATGCTCACATCTCATTCATTCTTTGATGAAAGCTAAAAAAATAATGCCTCCCATTTATTTCATTTGTTCAGCAAGTATCTGCTGCATGCTTACAATGTCAAGCATGCTGAAATTGTTGGGGATGCAAAACACGAGTTCTGACCTCATGGAACTTAGTCAGGAGGGGAATACTGACAACTAGCAGTAGCAAGGGATGAAGAAGAATAAGGTACAAGCAGAGGACAGGCAGGGGTATTTACACTATTGATGGGGTTAGAAGCAGACAGAGAAGTCTACTTGAAGACTTTTTTTTAAAGATGATACCTATGGATGAGTAGGAATTGGAGAGAGAAAGGGAGGCGAAAGTGTTCAAGGTAAAGAGAATCGTGTATAGAAAACCATGGAAGTGAAAGTGTTAGTGAAAGTGTTCTTGAAAAAGGCCTCTTTAGGGGCACCTGGGTGGCTCAGTGGATTAAGCCTCTGCCTTCGGCTCAGGTCATGATCTCAGGATTCTGGGATCGAGCCCCACATCGGGCTCTCTGCTCAGCAGGGAGCCTGCTTCCCCCTCTTTCTCTCTCTGCCTGCCTCTCTGCCTGCTTGTGATCTCTCTGTCAAATAAATAAATAAAATCTTTAAAAAAAAAAAAAAGAAAAGAAAAAGGCCTCTTTAACTCCTCCTTCCCCTAAGTAATTTCTCCATTTGATGACCCCCCGTAGCACTTGATATACAATTTTTAGGTCATAAGATCTCTGAAGGCAAAACATATGACTTATACGGAGTACTGGGTAAATGTGATTGCCGCTTCAGAGGAGAGTGAGGCTGTATCTATGTCCATGAAAAATGCTAACTTAAAACATTAAAATATCTGAGGTAAGAGGTGGATTATACCATACTTCTCTTCAAAATGATAGGAAAAGCATCACCTGTCTAGGTGACTACAGAGACCAAAGCAACAGGGAGGAATTGATTCATAAAGTTCTGGAGGAAGTACAAAGTAATTATAGCTCCAGTCCTCAAATATAACTTTAAAAGCTATTTCAGGGGGCACCTGGGTGGCTTAGTGGGTTAAAGCCTCTGCCTTCAGCTCAGGTCATGATGCCGGGGTTCTGGGATCGAGCCCTGAATTGGTTCCTCTGCTCAGTAGGGAGCCTGCTTCCCCCTCTCTCTCTGTCTGCCTCTCTGCTTACTTGTGATCTCTGTCTGTCAAATACATAAATAAAATCTTAAAAAAAAGCTATTTCAGGAAATATAATGAAAACCTGGTATACATCAGAAAGAAAAAATACCCACTCACTTATCTTTACAAGAGGTTTTCTTTTTAGATGTTCTCTTGGTATGGGCTGTTCTTTGTGTGTGGCGGGGTTTTGGGTTACTGGTGGGGAGGGCCTAACCAGACCTGACAAGCTACTTTAAAATCAAAAAAATTTTTAAAGATTTTATTGATTTATTTGAGAGAGAGATCACAAGTAGGCAGAGAGGCAGGTGGGGGGGGGGAAGCAGGCTCCCCACCGAGCAGAGAGCCTGATTCGGGACTAGATCCCAGGACTCTGGGATCATGACCTGAGCAGAAGGCAGCGGCTCAACCCACTGAGTCACCCAGGCGCCCCTTAAAATCAGATATCAACGGACACCCGGGCAGCTCAGTCTGTTAAGCAACTGCCCTTGGCTTGGGTCATGATCCCAGGGTCCTGGGATTGATTCCCACATGGGACTCCTTGCTCAGTGGGGAGGCTGCTTCTCCCTCTGCCTGTTGCTCCCCCTGCTTGTGCTCCCTCTCTCTAATAAATAAATTAAATTAAACATTAAAAAAATACATGTACACACAAATGTCCATGTCATGACTCAGGTTTTTATCATTTAATTTCTTGTTTATTTTTTCTTTTTGTTCTTTCATTTTAGATACATGTTCCAAAATCCTTTTGCCATTTGGTTGAGAGGAACCAAAATGAGTAAATTTTGATAGAGAAGGAGGTTTGGGGATATAGCTATTGTCTTGATTGGCCAGAATAGATAGTATTTTAAGCTTTCATGAGAAAGCTCCCTTTAATTTATTCCTCTCCTTAATTCTAGTTTAGCTATTCATCCCCAGGTTTGAGAAGGCACTTGTTTGATCCTGTCATTTCTGTAGCTAAGTAAATAATAACTCCCAAATAATGAGCAAATATATAGAGATGTGTTATGTGAATGGTAAGACACTATACACAAACGTAAGGTCTTATTTTATCACTAACTTTGGAAGTTTTTTTGTTTTTTGGTTTTTTTTGAGAGAGGAAGAGAGAGCTCGGGCTCATGAGCAGGGGGGAGGGGCAGAAGGAGAGGGAGAAAGAATCCCAAGCAGGCTCCACGCCCAGTGCAAAGCCTGAAGCTGGCTGACCTAAGATCATGAATAGAGCTGAAATCAAGAGTCAGATGTCTAACTGACTGAGCCCTCCAGACACCCCAGAAGTATTTTTTTTTTAATATTTATTTACTTGAGAGAATGAGAGTGAGAGAGAGAGCATGAGAGGGGAGAGGGTCAGAGGGAGAAGCAGACCCCATGCTGAATAGGGAGCCCAACACAGGACTCCATCCTGGGACTCCAGGATCATGACCTGAGCAGAAGGCAGTTGCTTAACCAACTGAGCCACCCAGGCACCCCATCCCCCAGAAATATTTTTGACAGATTTCTTTCTTTTCTTTCTTTCTTTTTTTTTTTTTTAAAGTAATCTCTACTCCCAACATGGCCCTTGAATTCACAACCCCGAGATCAAGAGTCACATGCTCTACCAACTGAGACAGCCAGGTTGTCACCCCCTACTTTTTTTTGATACTAGTTTTTTGAAGTGTCCTCCTCAAGGACAGAGATTACTTTTTTGGATGCTGTCCCATAGTATGGTGAGGTGTAGATGCCGAATTCTCTAATTTGGTGATTCTTAATCTTTTACCTCTTTAAAATATACTGTATTTTTTTTTAAGTTTTAAATTTACAGAAAAATTGAGCAGATAGTACAGAAAGTCCCCATATAACCTCTCCTTCCCCAGTTACCTTTATTATTGTTAGTATGTATGACACATTTGCTACAATTAATGAACCAATAACAATACACACTGTAATTACTAAAAATCCATATTCTTTTTTTTAAACTTTTTGCCTAAAGTCTTTTCTCTTTTAGAATACCAATCAGCTTAAAACCCACGTTGAGCTGTCATGTTATATCTACATTACACTTAATTGCCATGTCTCCTTAGGTTCTTCTTAGCTGGGGCATTACCTTCATTTTTTGGGTCATAAACTGGGTTGAAAATCTGATGAAAGTTATGGATCCTCTCCACAGAAAAATGCACGTGCTTCAGATGTCTTATTGAAGGGAGGTCCACCCATAAGATATTCAGAAGCACCGTTCTAGGACGAAAAGGTGATCTTGAAAATATCCCTTCCCCCACATTTGGGCTCAAAGTCAGGCTCTACTTTGACCTTTTTGCGTAGCTGTTTTCCTACATGGGCCTTGGTTTCACCATCTGTGAAATGAAGGGTTTGGTTTACACGATGTCTAAATCCTTTTCTAGCACTTTGGAAGGTGGGCGTCACCTCCAATTGTCTACATCAGAGTAACAAAGGTTGATAACAGACCAAGGCAGGTCAGGTCAGGAAAGTAGACGGGTGTATCAATAAAGAGGTTGCAGAGGTTCAGTGGGGGACAACACAAAACCTAGGTTCCACTTTATGGCTTTGTGGATTTTCTAAGTCATTTCCTTCCTCTGAGCTTCAATTTCCTCATCTGCAGAAATGTAGAGGCTCTGCTTCTGGTAGTTATGAAACTCCTGGGAACAACAGCGGACAATGTATCTAGGAAGATACCGTGTAAGGAATTACGAGAAGAAAAAAGATGGAGTAGATGGCTTAGTGCACTGGTGAAGGGCGGGCTTAAGGAAAGAGAGACCTAGCTGACCGCTCTGGAAAAAATAATATAGTATAAACCTTAGGGCTATCGGACCACACCCTCACAGCGCTGGGATCAATTCTACCTACGTGCCAGCCCCGCCTCCTCCCCCCCATTCCCCTCCGGCTGAAACTAGCCACACTTCTCATGGCAGTCACAGCGCGACGCTTTCCACCGCGCAAGGACCGCGCGCGCTCTCGCGCCGCCACCTCACTGCCATCTCTGCCCGCCCTTGGCTTCCTCCGATTGGTTCTCACGTAAGTGACGTAAGTGGTCCTTATTCCACCCACATCACTTCCCAGGGTTCCTCCCTCCTCTTTGCTTCTCCCGACTCGCGTGGCAACCTAACCTGCCCTCGTCTCTGCTGCGCCGGAGGAGCCGGGAGAGCAAGCTAAACCAGGAAGGCGGGGGTTTGTGGCGCGCACGCGCACGCACGCACGTACGCCGGCGGCCGGCGGGGCGGCACGCTCGCGCCCGGGCTCGCCGCGCGCCGCGCCAGAGGCTCGTGCACTCGGCAGGTTGGGCTGCGGCGGCGGCAGCTGTGGGAGCTGAGGCGCTGCGCGTGAGAGGTCCCAGTAGCGTCTGCGGCTCCAGTTCCGCCACCCTCCGCTTCTCTCACCCCAGTTTCGGTGCCGGGTGCGGAGAAGGGAACGGCGCTAGTGTTGGGAACCTCGAGCACACCCCTGGCTGCTTCCGACACCGCCATCCTTCCTTTCCCAGCCGCGGGCCTCGCTCGGTGCGAGGCGACTCTGCGGGGAGGCGGCGGCGACCGCTGCCAGTCTGTGGGGAGGAGTCCTGCCCTGCAGCCTTACTCCGCAGCCGGGCCCTAAAGGGTCCGAAAGAGCTCGGCGCCGGTCCTTCCTCTCTCCTCTTTCGTCAGCCGGTTGGAGCAGCGTCAGTCCGAGAGGTCTCTGGGCTGAGGCGGCGGCAGCTCCTCCGGCTCCATCATGTCCGCGGGCGGAGACTTCGGGAATCCGCTGAGGAAATTCAAGCTGGTGTTCCTGGGGGAGCAGAGCGGTGAGTGTGCGGCTCCCCCACTCCTGGCAGCTGGCCGCGGCTTCCCCGCACCGCCCCCAGTGCGGCCCTTCTGTCGGCGAAGGCTGTCTCCCCGCCTCGCGTTCGCGCTCCTTGCTAGCCCGCAGCGCTGCCTGGTGTTTGCCGACCACTCTTAGCCACCAGCTCCTCTTCGTCTTGATCCGTCGGTCAGATTTTGATCCTTCCGTCCCCGGCTCCGGTGCCTCCTTTCGCCGCAGCCCGGGCCTCTCCTGTCGATGTGCACCCCCCCCAACCCCCGCCCCAGGCCTCACCCGGCCCAGCCCCAGCCTGCTGTCCATCCCTTTCTTTCTCCCGTCCCCGTCGTCTCGTCAACCGTAGCCCCCTTCCTTGAGCCCCACCCTTATTCTTGGCTTTTATCCCAGTTCGTCAGCTCTATGAAGGCCCACCCCGGGAAGCCCCACTCCGGGGATCCGACCCTCTTCAACCTTGGACTAGGAGGGTGGGGGGATTAGGGCGTTGTTTTCCCTAGAGACTTGGCCTTGGGAAGTGCAGATCTGGTGGGAGGTGGGAAGTGGGGGGGGGGTCGTAGAAATTCTTGGATTGTTTTCACTTGGGTGGGGAATTAGTTTGGGATATGGAGGGTGCATGTTTGAATTGGAGGCGACTTGAGGATGGAGGGATTGAGGAATAAGAGGGGTGGCGGTGGCAGTGGTGATTTTTGCTTCTTGGGTTAGGCTGCGCGTTATTGGAAAACCTCATTTTCTTCTCATGACTTTGATCCCTGACAATTCTTTTGGCACTGTTGATGCTTTCCCGGTCTCTGCCAGATGCTATGTCATGATCGTTTTACTTGGAATTTTTCACATCTAACCTCTCCTTTTTCTCCTTTCAACATGAAGCAGTGTCTTTTTCTCTTTATGGTGGTGCAAACAGGAATTACCGGAGAAATGTTAATTATTCCACTTCTTTTGAGTGTTTTCCAGTTTATATTTAGGATTCCTGTGAGAGGCCTGAGAAGAACGAACATCTTTGTTTTGTAGGATTTCCTTTGGGGCTAAGAGTAATGGAATAGAGTAGAATAGATTCATCATCTACTTATCTAAATTAGATTTCAGTATGTAATACCGTTTCGTCTAAATGACCCTTTTTGCTTAATATTTCATAGTATGTGGTGAGTGGCATGATCTTACCTGATCAGGCTTCTGCTGTTGCTTACTTTGTATTATATCAAGATCCTAGTTTTGTGATGGTTTTCTCTAAAATTACTTCTGATGATTCCAATTTTATGCTGAATTATGAAAGTTGGCACTGGACAGTGTAGAGATTATGGTCCTCCTTTGTTTTTCTCACATATTTCATGATGGTCTTTAAAATTCAGACATTGAGAAGTTAGTCCTCCCAAGTCATCCTGACATTGAGTTAACAGCTAAGTACCTTAGGTTAGGCTGTAGAGAAGACAATTTCTTCTGATTGTAAAGCAGATAACTTACAAATTCAGAGCTTTTCCTACTACCTTGAACTGTTTATAGTAATATATATGACATTAAAATAGGTTAACATTAGTTGCAAAATTGCTTCCAGTTGGAGCTGAAAAATCATTTTTCTCTTTTCAGTATGTAATCTTTACCTCCTTCCTCCTTACCAAGGAAAAATATAGTTTCCTCTTTGCTTATAAATTTTCCTGAAGCAAGTATAAGCTTGTTTCTTGAAGTAACTTGGTAAGATCCATGAGCGTGATCCCAGTCTAGGTATTTTATAGCAATTTCAGGACAGTGCCATGCATAAAATACAGTGTATTGGTCATTATTGATAAATAGGATCTAAAGTGCTTATTGTGGACTCTGGGGATGTTATTGCTGGCCTTATGTTGTGATGCAGAGCTATTTAGTTTGCATGAAAAATCCATTAATCTGTCATAGGAAGATTGTGAGTAGTGATCATAACTTCAGTATCTGCAGGTTTCCTTTGAATTCCTTAAGTAATTATTTTCTAATTCACATTGCAGAGTTTGGTGGCTTTTCATTTTTTACTTTATGTCTTGACAGCATCCCCCCTGCACACACACATAGTTCGTGAAGTCATGTTAGATTTTTTTTAATGGACATTATTATTTTTTTTTAAAGATTTTATTTATTTATTTGACAGGCAGAGATCACAAGTAGGCAGAGAGGCAGGCAGAGAGAGGAAGGGAAGCAGGCTCCCCGCTGTGCAGAGAGCCTGATGCGGGGCTCGATCCCAGGACCCTGAGCCAAAGGCAGCGGCTTAACCCACTGAGCCACCCAGGCGCCCCTTAATGGACATTATTTTTTTAGAATGGTTTTAGGTTTACAGAAAATTGAGATCGTGCTGAGGGTTCCCACATAGCCCCACCCAGTTTCCCCAGTATTCCTCAGTATTCTTGTATGTTACATTTGTTATAATGAGTGAGCCAATATTGATATGTTATTATTAACTAAAGTCCATAGTTTATTCAGATTTCCTTACTTTTTATCTTTTTTGTTTGTTTGTTTTAAGCATTCAGTTCAGGATACCACATTACATTTAGTTGGCTGTGTCTCTTTAGGCTCCTCTTAGATGGTTTTTTAAGGACTGTGTTTACATGATTTTTAATTCTGTGGAACTGAGGTCAATTATCTTTTAAGGCCAAGTAATGCCATTTGATAGCTTTGACAATGAAAGATTGATCTTTGTTTTCATGGGCAGTGTCTGTAGTTTCCTTATGCATTAGTAAAGGTCTGTAGAACCCATGTCATCTTGATGTAACTCTTCATGAATTATTTATTTTTAGGTTTTAGAATTCCACAATTCAGCTTTCAAAAACGAATCTGTGGCAAAGCATTTACCACATTTATAAATGTTGCGTGTGTGTGTGTGTCTTACCCACAACAGAAGCAAGTCCCATGAAGATTAAAACTTATTTTTTTGTTCATTATATTCCCCAGTGCCTAGCATACCAGGCTCATACTAGGTACTCAGAAATATTTTGTAAATGAGTGGTGGTTGAATCTACTAGGAACCAAAGCTGTATTAGTCTTTGCTATGGTGGAATCTATGTTTTTACCTTATGCTGTTAATAGTTTAACAATAGCATTTTATACCTACATTATTTGATTGTATGCAGGGGTACTCTAGATGCTGGAGGGGACAGGGAACCCAATAATTTATAGCTCTCTCCCTTTTGCTTAAAAAAATAGGACCAGGATTTTGCACTTTGTGTTGAGCAAAATTAGTTTTTTTTTGTTTGTTTGTTTGTTTTTTTTTTTTAAAGATTTTATTTATTTGTCAGAGAGAGAGGGAGAGAGAGCGAGCACAGGCAGACAGAATGGCAGGCAGAGGCAGAGGGAGAAGCAGGCTCCCTGCAGAGCAAGGAGCCCGATGCGGGACTCGATCCCAGGACGCTGGGATCATGACCTGAGCCGAAGGCAGCTGCTTAACCAACTGAGCCACCCAGGCGTCCCGAGCAAAATTAGTTTTGTTTAAAGATACTGTTAAATTATTTTCTATTAGCATAGCACCTAAAAATATGTCAAATGACATTAAAGATGTGTTCAAGGAATTGCTTTGGGGTTTAGTAGACTTCTATTTAGCTTATCAAAAATTAAGGTTCTGTTTCTGTAAACAAAGATGAATTGTTTCAGCATATGAAGCTTCAGACTGAGTTAATGCCAGCATCAGTGTTGGCAGTCTTTTTACAAACTCTTAGGGTCAATTTATATTTCAATAGTATACCCGATTTAATAAAGGGATGTGGAAGTACACAGTTTAAATCTGAGGTTTCCTTGAGAAGTCTTTTTTGTTGCTACCTCTGGCTGCTCTGGTAAAATGCAGAGGCATTTTAGGGTTGCCATTCATGTTTTATAGTAAAAGATATTACTACAAACTAATGTTACAAAATAGGGTTACAAATTAGAAAGCATAATCTCAGGTAGAAGCACATACCTGGCCTCCTACTGCTTAGTGTTTCACTTTATGTTACCCTTTTTACATCAGTTCTTTTGAATTAAAATATGGTAGGTAGGGAAAATGTGTCTTACCATCAGAGACCAAGAGTACTGAACAGTTTAGATTGGTAAGATCAGTGATCTTAAACTTTTACTTCTCAAGATCCTGTTACCTGTTATGCTTTTACAAATTGTTGAGGCCCCTAAAGAACACTGTTTATATGGTTTATATCAATATTTATTGTATTGAAAGTGAACAACATTTAAAAATACTTAATTCACAGGCGCCGGGGTGGCTCAGTTGTTAAGCTTCTGCCTTCGGCTCAGGTCATGATCCTGGGATCCTGGGATCAAACCCAGCGTTGGGCTCCCTGCTCAGTGGGAAGCCTGCTTCTCCCTCTCCCACTCCCCCTGCTTGTGTTCCTTCTCTCTCCCTGTGTCTGTCAAATAGATAAAATCTTTAAAAAATATATTTAATTCATTAAAAAATATTAGTTTTATTTATTTAATTTTTTTGAAAGATTTTATTTATCTGACAGAGAAAGAGCACAAGTAAGCCCAGTGGCAGGCAGCGGGAGAAAGAGAAGCAGGCTCTCTGCTGAGCAGGGAGCCTGATGTGGGGCTTGATCCCAGGACCCTGGAATCATGAGCGGAAGGCATCTGTTTAACCAACTGAGCAACCCAGGCGCCCCAAAAATATTAGTTTTAAGTCCATTATATGAAAGAACCATTTTCCAAACAAAGATTTAGTGAGAGTGGCATTGCTTTACATATTTGCAAATCTTATTTTTTAAGTTTTTTCTTCTTCTTTTTTTAAAGATTTTATTTCTTTATTTGACAGAGAGAGAGTATAAGCAAGGGAGAATAGCAGGGAGAGAGAGAAGCAGGCTCCCGCTGACCAGAGAGTCCCATGTGGGGCTCCATCCTAGGACCCTGGGGCCATGACCTGAGCTGAAGGCAGACATTTAACTGACTGAGCCACCCAGGCGTCCCTACAAATCTCTTTAATGCCTTTGACTTATTAGAAGACATCCGGATTCTCATAGATCCTTCTGCATTCAGTCTACTGTAATAACACAT